ATAAATTTTTGGAGTTGCGAAAAAGTGATTGATCAAATATTTATAATTATTTCCGTTTAGAAGGAAAAGTATCGGTCATTTGGGCTTAGACTTAGATTTATATATGCATGTTTTTTTTTTATAAAATTATCATATCGATAATTATGCAATACGAATTTGAAAGGAATACATGGTAAAAAAATCAATTTTTGAGTTGCTAGGAAGCGATGGAGGATTATTTTTTCTAATGTGCGCACAGTGTGTATATCTATTTAGAAGAATAAGTATCTATCGTTTTCGCCTCTTTGCGACGTTGCCAGAGTGCAGAGGCGAACACGCACTATGAATGCAAGGAGGCGATTACGACCTGTATACAAAATCTGTATAACTCCGCAGCGCCATCTAGTTAAATAACGCCGAACATTGGTGTATGTTAGTATGTGTATATAGGTCGTTTTGGCCTCCAGACAAAAATTTGCCAGAAGACTCAGGGTACTCTAATTCGTGGAAATTCGATGAGAACAAGGCAAGACGCTTCCGACTCCGATTTCGGAGGCGAACACGTAAAATCGGAGTCAGACACGTTCGGTTGACATAGCGATCGGAGGTGTATGCGTACCATTTGCATATGTATATATATATAATATATATATATATATATATATAGGGGGCGCGAGTTCTGGCGCATCCTGTATAAGCTCCCAAAAAAGCAATTGTATGGATTCAATCGAGGATTAGGTACTAGTACTTAAAATAACTGTTTTAGTTAGCTACTATTTTGTATCCTCGAAAAATTAATTATATTATTATTAATTATGTATAACATAATAAGAGATTTGAATGTGTTTTAACAAAAAATGTTTGTAACAAGTACTTACCTAAAATGTTTTTGAGGACTCACTTGGTATTCTAGACTCGGCTTCGCCTCGTCTAGTCATCCAGAAACAGCTACGATTCATCCCTACAAACTGTATTCTCGATAATTAAAACAAAAATAACTACATATTTTTAAACTTTTGAATTGTTTCAGTGATGATTTCTACGAATTTAATTTTTTTAGAAAAAACGCCTTTGACCAGGTGCCTCTTAAACCTGAACGCGTGCGACAAGAACTTGTCATAAAACTCGTTTCTTTATTAAACATAATTTAAATAAATTCTTTTTCGAGTCATTATAACTATAATAGAGATAAAACAAGGGCATTTTCAAGAAATCAAAGTTCCGATTTTTAACACTTTAATTATATTTTAAAAAATTTTTAAGTTGATATCTTTCAAAAAAAAAATAGAACAAAAATATTTTTTTTATTTTGACCCTAGTCAATTGACTTCGGTCACGTGTTTAAATTTTTGATTTCTTTAGAATGTGAACCTGTTTTCACCTCCTAGACAATTTTTTAACGATTCATTGTCCGCCAAAACCCTTTTTGTTCTTTTCTAATGGTCGCCTGCATTGCACCATCTGCTAAGCAGGTGAAAAGTGGCTCTCAATATCGAGCTCCTTGCGGCCACCCTCCGTACTCCACAGGTAGGTAAAACGAGAGAAAAAAACCTCATTCCATGTATCAGAAGCATACACTGAAAACGAGCAACAATCGAGAAACACCTGGCGGTCGGAGCGCTTGCGCCCCCAGACATATAAAACCGTTTTTGGTATCCTTTGAAGCTTCAGTTCGCATTTCAGTCCAGAACGAAGCAAAGATGCGTCGGTTGTGGGTGGTGTTGGTAGCGATGATGCTATCGTCGGCATGTGGTGAATCTAGTGACCTGGAGGAACAAATGCGCGTGCTCGCCAAACAAGTGACGACGCTCCTGGATAGACGGAGAGAGGATCTAGCAAGCATCGAGGATAACATGCGGAAGAGGATGTTCCAAAGTCCGGAAATTGGAGATGTTAAAGAGGAGCTGAAGAAGCTGAGGTGGGTGAGCAGCGCGAGGCGAAGGCGAGTGCCTAACCAACAATACATATTTTCAAATTATTCAATTTTAGAACCGAGTTTTTGACATTTTAAAGACGCGCAAAATAAATTAAATAAAGTTTTCAAACATTTAAAGTTTCTATTACACAGTGTAATTTTATACAGGGTGAAAATAAAGTATGGAACCAAGCGGTTTTTTTTTGCCTCCAGAAAATAATAATTAATATTAATTAATTAATAGTAATTAATGAATAGTTTAAGCAAAAAAAACATTCTACATTTTTATGTGCTTTGAGCAATGCTATAAAACCATTTTTTGTTTTGAGATTTCGGGTGCGAAGTTTCCAAGTTATTGCAATTTTCTGCAAAATTTTAAAAATACATGCTATATACAGAACTCGCGGCCCAGGGAAAAATACCTTGTAAGGTAAGATGCCAGGACCATAGAAAAAATGAAAAAAAAATTTTACCTATAAAAATATCAAAGTTATGAGAGTTTAAATTTTGCACTTTGAAAAATGTCAAAACATAAATATCAAAATTTTTTGACAGATAGAATTTTTTAAACACTTTTTCCATGTTCCTGGTATCTTACTTGGAATTTTTCTATGGGGCGCGAGTTCTGACACCCTGTATGTACAACGTGTTTTAAAATGATTTTCATCTACTCGCCTATGGAATTTCCATGCAAAATAAAATATGCCTCTTTAAAAAATATTGAATTAAATTAACCTCAAATGTTAACTTATTTCAATTAACAGCCGTCACTGTTGACAGAACTATCTGATTCAAAAAGAGTAGGGCGGTACAGAAAAATTTACATATCAGGATGTCCGGAAAGTCGCGCATCGGACGACGTCCTAGACAACAAGAAAAATGTTTAAAAAATCTATCTATAAAAATTTCGAAGTTATAAGAGTTGAAATTTTGAACTTTGACTATTTCTGTTGGAAAAATAATTTTCCAAGTTTTTTTGCTACAGGCTATTAGAAGAGGAAACAAAGAAGCTGTATCCTAAATTGTAACTCTGTTTAATGTTATTTGTGTCAAATGTCAAAATTTTTTGACAGTTTTTTTTTACTCCCTCTCAAGGAGGTGCGCGACTTTACGGACAGCCTGTATATAGAAATTCTACAGGCGACTAGATGAAAATCGTTTTAACACACGGTGTATACGATTTGATTATAAACTTTTATTTATAATTAACAAGACAAAAGTAAAATTTTGAACATTGATTAGAAAGGCTTTATTTTGTCGTTTGATGACATTTTTATTTATTTTTGTTATACATATAGGGTGCTAACTAGAAATGATTTAATTATGCAATTTTCAAACAGCTTTAATTTTTTTCAATGTATTCTATCTTTTTATGTTTTACTATTAATTTTGGTATTTCACATAATTATTTTGAGTATGATACAAGGTGTTTTATTTGTTTGAACTTTACTATCTTAAACTATTTTTTTTTTAATAATTAATGCTATTTAAAAATACACTTAATTTTCACAAGTAAAAAAATGTCAAGAAAATGTGAAATCGGTAAAATAGTGCAAAGTTTTGATGAAACGTTTAAAAAAAATCTTTGTTTAAAAATTTTGACATTTTGTTGACATTTGTTTTTTTATGTCTATTTAATGCTACCGATGATCTTGTATATGTTTTTTCATTATTATTCAATAAAGGTACAAATAACGGTAAATATAGTTAAACATGTAACGTGTATTTTTCCAACAAATAGGTTCAAAGTGCAAAATTTAGATCCCCATAATTTCCAAATTTTTATAATTAGAATTTAGAAGAAGAATTTAGAATAAATAAAATTTTGTAAAAATAATTTCAATGTTTTGACAACGCTTCAAGATTACATTTCTATTTTCAATAATACCATCAGTATCTTCCGATTCCGTACTACTAAATAATGTAGCATTAAAACTTTTCTTGTACAACTATTTTTACGACACTTGTTTTATTCCACTTAATTTACTGTAATGACTAAAATGTTAGAATTAATAAATTAAATAGGATTTGCCCTTAGCAACATTCAAAAAATTAGATACCTAAACGTAATGACGTAGAAGGCAGTTTTTTCCGTTTTCGAGCGTTGAAGTTTTTTAAATTGCCTCTGGCTGTTTTTGTACTTTTGCTAAACACAAACTTATTTATTATCCTTACGAAAACATCTAATGAAAAGTAAACACAATTTTCTTTCACCCTTCGTCAGTGAAAAATGCCAGAAACTCGTGTTAAATTGTTTCTCTCCGGAATCTGGCCGGAAAAATTTAAACAAACTTGAGATTTTTCATTTTGAATTTGTCATGTCCTTGCGGGCTTTAAAACTTGTTTAAAACTTTTCCAAACTTATTAAATAAGATAAATCGTGTATGTAAAAATTTAAATAAAGCATTGCTTGGTTAAAAAAGGGAAAAAAAGAGTCAAAAGAGAATGGTATCATCAATCAGTTGACTGTTTCATTTCAAAGAAAAATTGTAATTTCGGTCGAGCTCGTGAAAGTTTTATTTGTTCGAGTCGTACCTCTCGCTTTTGTTATCTGTCGGGTAATATTCTTTAATGGAAAATGTATTTGTGTTTAAGGGAAAATAAGATACTCGACACGCATAGCGTCAATCGCCGTCATTTAGATCCGAATTACGAGATTAATTTTGTTTTATTAAAAGCGAGTAATAGTTAGGCAACACGCAACGCGCATAGTAATAAAAGGCCAAAATCACAAGCACGTACGAGGGACTTCATAACGGCATAAAAACTTTCGCAAATTCAATTCCGACAACTCTCCTCAAGCTAAATTGGTGGAGGCGCGAGGCCAGATGACAATTTTGAGAAAAGTTTTGATTTGGAGACGCGCTAACGTGGCCAGAGGACAGTCCCGGGGGGCAATAATAACAAGTTTATTCCAAAAGAAAGAGAAAATTCGCATGTATTTGCTAAGAAAGATCGACAGAAATTACAAGCAGGCATTGATATTCATTTTTTCATAAGATTTCAAAATTGGCACGATATGTGTTTACACAAAACACAAAAACCGAAACAATATTTTAAGTAACGTCAAAGAGCACTAATCTTTATTTCTTCACTTTATTGTTAAACAGAACGGAAAAGACTACAAGTAAACAATAATTAATAAAAGTAAGGATTTTTGACATTAATGCAACAACTATAATATTTATTGCTTATTTTTTTAATGCAACGCCAGGATATACAGGATGCGCCAGAACTCGCGCATCAGAGAAAAATGCCATATAAGGTAAGATACCAGGAACATGGAAAAAATGTTAAAAAAATTTTATCTATAAAAATTTCGAAGTTATGAGAGTTTAACTTTTGCACTTTGACTCAATTTATTTCTGTTAGAAAAATAATTTTCCAATTTTTTTTTGCCACAGGCTATTAGAAGAGGAAACAAGGAAGCTGTATCCTAATTTGTAACTCTGTTCAATGTTATTTGTGGCTTTTATTGGCAAAATTTTTGTACCTTTTCTAAATAATTGAAAAAAAAAACATGTACAAGTATCATTAAACAGATGTAAAAATGTCAAAATGTCAGAATTTTTAAACATATTTTTCCATGTTCATGGTATCTTATCTTACTTGAAATTTGTAGATCTAGTATCTTCTCGTTTTCAGCAATTTTTTTTGAGAAATTTTGCGTATAATTTTGTTTTCAATATTTCGTTATTCGATACATTACATTACATTACATCTTCTATTCGAATTTATTTTTCAAAAGTTTTATTTTCTGATGGAGAAAATAAATTAAAAGATAATCAAAAGGAAATAAGAATCTTAATATGACTTAACGAGAGCAGTAATCCTTATTTCTTTTTTTCCTTTATAAGATATAAAAATCTACGTTCTACGACATTTTGATTTCAAATGAGGCTTAGTTTAAAACGGAGATACTTTTGTGGACACAAAATTTCCAAAAACTGCTTATATTTTTGTCATTTTCTCGTCAAGATAATGACATTAAAAATCAGGATTTTTCTGTGAACTCTAGTTTGATCCTTTATCTCAAGAATGCAAAAATCATCAACAATTTCAATAAGCATTTTAGTTTGTCAAATATTTAAATCCTTTTTTTTCAATATGTATACTACAAAATAAAAAGTTTGTATCTTCTTGTTATTGAGGTTTTTTTAGTTGAAAGCTATACTGAAAAATCAAAAATAGACATATTATCGTTTACAGTATTTTTTCAAACAATTAAATTTAATAATTTTTCCTTTAAAATTTCGTTAATCAATACAATGGAGCTCAAAAAATTAGTATTTTTAATTTCTTTCCAAAGTGTTTTCTTTGTGAAATAAAAGAAAAGAAAAAACAACAATTTCAATTGACTTGAAAGGGCAATAATCTTTTTTTTTTTTCCAAGATCAAAATCATCATTTTTCAACGTACGGAAGAATAAAAATTTAAAATCTGCTTATTGTCTTTAAGTATTTTCTTCAGATCATGTGACATTTTTTTCATTTCCTCTTTCTCTTCGTTCAACGTATTACATAAGAAAAAGTCTGATCTATATTCTGTTTCAGAATCTTTTCTTCAAAATATTAGATTTTGAAAGAGAAAATAAAATACTGTAAAGTAATACAAAAGAATTTTGACATTTTTTCTACATATAAAAATTTCTTTAACATATTGAAAAATTAAAAGAAAAGTATGCACATTTTTTGTATGTTGCAAATATTCGCTGAAAAAAATAAAAATTGTCATTTTTTTTTATTTTAATGGGACAGAATATTTCCTTCTTCAACATAATGAAGGATTTTTTTTATATTCTCGGTTTCGAGAATTTCCTTCAAATGATTTTACTTTTTACGAATACCTTTTTGAAATTTTTGTTTATGTGGATAGAGCGTTTGAAATTTTAGTTGATTGCGGTGTACATTAAAGCCTGAACTAGAAAGATCAATGGGAAGCTCTCCGAGCTTTATAATATATTTAGTTTATAAACTGGCGAGGCTGCCGCTCGGAAAAACATAACAAGAGATGGAGTATTTCATCCGGAAAATGGCTCTACAATAACTGACAAAATTGAGAAAAATTCTATTTCTGTTCCATTCAATTATTGTCAAGATTAAGTAAATTCTAACCAGATTTTAACCAGGATTAAGGGTTAATAAGCGCGCCTGAAACTTTGTAGCTTATACACACCAAAACTTTATACACTTAATTTAACTCAATTTCACTTCTGAGAGTTTATAGTTACGCAATGCGAGAGAAAAACTCCGAATAATTTTGGCCATCCGTTTATTGAAACTTTTAATTTTATTTCCTTCTTCGAAACTGGTTGATGTAAGGCTTCCAAATGAGATAAATGCCGTTGAAAATTCCCAAAATTCCTAAAAGTTTGATTTTGGTCTGGTTCACATTCCTAATCACCAGCATTTTTCCGAAATAAGGCTAATTATAATTTAGCAGTTCAAAGCTTTGAACTCAAACGTAATTTATTTGACATTGATGGCGCAAACCACTCGATAATTGGTTTTTGAAAATTTTCTCTTTGTTTTCAGGACCGAAATGGATGAAATCCAGTCTGGAAGCTTTCAGCGTCAAGAGCCACACTCCCGACAGGAAAAAAACGACCACTTGACGGTGAAATGGTTGTCCAATGCGGTGGCGGAATTAAAAACCGAACTTTCTGAAGTTCAAAACACTCTGAATTCGACCGTAATCCTGCAAAATCACGAACAAGTCGACACCGAGCTTAGTTTATTAAAAAGCGACGTCTCCAATCTCAACAAGGAACTGGAGATGGCGAGGAAGAAGAATGCCAAGTATGAGGCTGATTTAATAGCTATGAGGGAGGAATTGGCATCGCTGAAAGAACATTCGAAAGCAACGGCTGTCATATGCGCTAAAAACAAGAATCAGGTGAGCAAATTTTACAAAATGTTTACCACAGTGATATTTGATGCGAGTGAAAACAATAAAATTTCATAAATATTTATTTCCGTAGCTGCCTCATTCATGCGGCTTTATATTTTATTTCTTCATTTTTTTAATATGAGAAAACTTGTTCTTCTATATGTAGAACAAACAAAATGATTGTATTTTCTTGATTGGGCTAAAGACTTTGAGAAGACATTTAAGATATTTTAAGGATAGGAAATTAAAAAGAAGAAGAATCTTAATTTTTCTACGAAAAAGTCAAGTTGTCTTTTACTTTAACAAAATACAAAAAACTATTATTACCTTCCTGTTTTTGATTTTTTGAAGTTTTATCCTTGAAAGAGAAATAAATTGAAACATGGATAAGAGAATTTTAATATGACTTGAAACGAACAATAATAATTCATTTATTTTTTCCGAAACAGACTCCTTCTTCTTCAACATATTAAAAAATAAAAATTTAGTAACTTCAAACAGTCTTTAAGAAAAAAAAAAATACAGGAGTTTAAAGTAACCTAAACTCTGAGTTTTTCAGTAAAATAGGAAAAAATCAGGAAATTAGTTTAAAAATGACATTACTTTTGTCTCTTTCCAGCGTTTTAAGATGCATTTTTGAGAAATTTCATTCAAATAGGTCGAAAAATTACTAAATTAGAATCGCTGGATTTAGTTTGTTATTGATAAAAGCAATTTTTCGAGAAATTACTCTCAAATAAAGCAATAAATCACCAAATTTAGCAAAATACTCGTAATATGATTTTGGCTTTTTTTAATGTTTAAGCATTTTTTGTGTTAAAAAATAATTTTTTGGCACGATTACGCCAAAACAGGATGAGAAATAATGTCTTTTTTGACTTTCTGAAGCGTTTAAGCTAGTTTTTCATCCAGAAATGCACTTTTTTCAAAATTTTGCCCAAACCAGCCAAATAACCAAATTAAGTGAAGCTGCTATTTTGCAAGTGTTTAAATACGTTTATGAGGTGAAAACTGAGTTTTTCGCGAGATTTTTCCAAAACAGACCAAAACTCACCAAATTTTTGCCAATTCAAGCATTTTACATCGCTTTTGGTAAAAAATTCAAAAGTTACCTAATTAAATCAAACATGCTATTTATTTTTCAACATATAAATGTCATTTTTTTGTTGTTGTATGTTTTCTTGGGAACATTTAACGTTGAAGAGAAATAAAGTAAAACTCTTAAGTACTTACTCAAGTAAGTACCACTTTCACCACTTGGTGAAATAAAATATTGTCACCTTTATCTTTATTATTGGTACTTGTAAATTTTAATGATATAAAAATTACTGACAATCTTCTCGTTTTCGAGAAATACTACAAGCATTTATTTTTGATAAGAAAAATAAAATCAATAATTTTAATTTTCGGTAAGATATTAAAACAGCTCGTTTTTTTAACAAAAAAAGGATAAAAAGCTGGTAGGTATCTTCCTGTTTCCCAAATTTGTTTTTTGAAAACGAAAATGAAATAAAAGCCGGTTCAAAAGACTTAAGATTCAATCTAATTTTTAGGGAGCTATAATCCTTGTTTTAATAAACGTATTTAAACACAACATAATAAATTTATTTTCTAATGCAAAAACACTTTACAGTCCTGTTGAATTATTATCATAATTAGCGCGATTCGACATAGGGGCGGAGAAGGGGCGAAATGACCTCCAGCGTTCAACTTAACAATCAATAAATTAATAACACAATTACGTATCGAGGAATTAATCAATTATTCTTGTCAAAATGCAACTATTGTTTTAAAATCTAATGAAAAATTAAATTCGACTCTCTGAATAGCGAGTCAATTGTACAGAAGTTTTTAATTTTGCCTTCTTTAATCAAGTCACTGTTGGAAAAAAATTAATTACGAATTGCACATTTATTTTCTTCTATTTCGGCGCCTCGCAAGTCGAATTATTTAATTAATCTCATTTTAGAGTTGTTTAAGAGGAAATAAAATGAAGTGAAGCTCTGATATTTTCTAGCATACACAATGGGCACAATGCGCATTTTCATCCGAGTAAAAAAAAACTCATTCATTTATAAATGTTGAAAAAGAATTAAATCATTGGAACGAGCCCTAAATTAAATGATTGCTTGATTATTCCAGGCACGTAAAACCTCCCATCAACAAGTTATTAAAATCTTCTCAGAATTCTTCTTCGAACCAGTTACTTTCTGTTAAATAATGACACCTAACCCAGATTTGTTCGTTTTTCTCCCTCATCATGTGCCAACACGATCTTCCACCTTTTTGTCCCGTTTGTCTCACGACCTGTTTGTGAATTCACTGTGGACAAGCTTTATCAAAGCCTCCGCACCATTTCTTTGATCTTAACCGATCGTAACAAACAGTTTACTAACATATCCTCATCCTCGACCCTCATATATTCCACTCGAGTGAACTTTTCTCCCCCGACAAAAAATATTCATAAATTTCAAAACTTGCTTCATTAAAATTTATATTGAAGGGGTTTAAAATACAAACGTAAAATGTATAAACTAGTTAGCTATAAATAAAATTCGAATTCGTGTAAAACCAGTAAAAATGTAAAATTCACGAGTGCTTCTCCATCTCGTTAATCAAATCGATTTCTCTCTGTTCCTTCCTCTCGTTCCTCTCGTTGTATAGAAATTTATTTCTTCTGATTCTCTCGATTATAGTTTCGGTAGTGACATCGCTCTCGGAATTGACTTGTACGAAAATACCGAGTTGTTTGGGGTAATTAAAGGGGTCGTCTCCCCCATCCCCGAATGGAACTCTTCCACTCACCACCAAATCAATTTTAAAATTATTTATCAAATCTTCCGTAACGTGAAACGGAGCATCTATCACCACTTCCGAGACGTATTTACACGCCAATACGCCCAATAACCTCTCATGCATCCTCATAACGGGGTAATCCGGCCCTTTGTACCCCCTCACGACCTCATCCGAGTACAGCCCCACGATCACATAATCCCCCAACTCGGCCGCCTTCTCCAGAAACTGCACATGCCCCACGTGGAACAAGTCGAATCCCCCGGTCACGTAAACCACTTTATCGCCAACTTTCCTTGCTTTTCCTCCGGAGAATTCGACGATTTTTCGCGTGCTAAGGTGGAAGCTCGCCCCGGTCCACGGGGACCTCGCCGTGGTGCGATTCCCCAGGATGCGGCCCACGAGACCTGTCGTGGAGATCCCCGGAGTGCGCTGGACCTCTCTGTACCGGCCCTCCGCCTTGATCTCCTTGTAAGTGTCGTTGCCGTCGGCGGTGAGAGTGATGTCGTCGCCGTGGCAGCAAAAGTCGCACTCGTACTCGTCGAGCGTCTTCAGGGAGGTGACGTAGGGCGAGCACTCCACCACCTGGTCCACCCATCGAATGGCAGAGATGAGTTTGCAACGCTCGTCGAAGGTGAACACAGGGGGGCCTTTGTGACGGGCGATCTCCTCGTCGCTGTGGACGCCTACCACGAGGAGGTCTCCCAGGAGTTTGGCCTGGCGGAGCGAATTAGCGTGGCCGAAGTGCATCAGGTCGTAGCAGCCGTCGCACCAGACTTTTACGGGGGGCGAAGCTTGGGTGGGCATTTTGACAACGTGAAACTGAGTTTTGGACACAGCCATCTTTTTTATTTTTGACACAGATCAGATTTTATTAAAATTTTAATTGGAATTTTTCCGCCGCTGGTTAATTAGAATAATTACATACCTCAAACATCCGATAACAATTTTACCTTTTGTGGGTTTAGTAAATACATATTTCGTGTCGATATTATTGACGAAAATTTTTTGCGGAACAAATTTTTTTCTTCCTGTTTGCACAACCGGCAATTACAAATTTTTCCCAATTAAAACTACCTTTACATTCAATTTTCATCATTATCTCGAGCTTCTAGTCGGGATTATCTCGAGTTTAACGACGCTATTTTCTTGGATTATGCCCGAAATGACCTAATAAGCAAAAGTTTACAATCTATCAGAATTTCTGACGGAAAATTAAACGGAAAGAACGACGACGTTTTCAAGTTTTAATCCTCGGACTAAAAGCCGGGATTAAAATAAACGAAGCAATTCGTTTTTTAGTATTGAAACATGTTTTAATTGTACTGCCGTATAATGAAATTCATTTCGGAAAAAAATCTTCAAATTAATTGGACTTTTTTCTAGTTTGACTAGTTTTCCAGTTTAAATTACATTTTTATGCTGCTGTGTCTGTGCCAGATTGCCGTGGATACAGAGAATTGCTTATAAAAAGTTACGATCTTGCAATTTATAACAAATTTATATTCATTCGCCATCCAATTGAAAAATACAGAAATAAAGACAAGCGATCAATTATAAAATGCATCAAGTCTCGTATTTCACTAATCCCATTACAAAATTGGAATAAAATTGTTAGGCGAGTCACGCAAGAGTTTCGATTTTTGCAAATGTTGGCATTTCGACGCTTTGAAGTTTTATTTCAAAACGTAAGCAAGATATTCAAATATGTTCCAACAAAGAAACTCCATATGATAATTTTCAACGGATTTTATTTGCTCTGTTCAGGTGGAAAATTAATGTTGGAAATGTACAAAATTTCCCCGAGCGATGCAATGAAATTAGTTAAGTTGATGTAATTTTATCTAGCGGTGTTATTATAACTGCAATATTTTATTTCAGTTTTTCGCAAAAAATGTACAGAGAAACACAGTTTGCCTTTGTTCGAATTAACAAACAAATTAAATTAATTGCACACACGGGCTTACACTGTAATATTATTGAGAAAAAATTATTCAAAATTCTATTAGAATTTCCATTTAATTAAAAAAAAGTATTTATTATACAGGGTAATTTTTTTTTAAACGAGCCATGAATGTTTCAGAAAAAAAAATTAGAAAATCTAGAGAAAGGGCAATTTTTAAATTTTTTGACCTTTGAATTACTGTCAATCAACGCAGACGACGTTTGAGAGCTATCCTTGCACTTTTATAGGGCTTTGTTCTGCTAAATATTGTTTTTGGGTAACGTAAATAAAAAATATTCAAAACTCAAACGGAATTCCTGATGGTCAAAATACCTTTTATTTGAGATATCACAAAGGGGGTACTACCATTTAAAATTTTGAAAAGGTTGTTTCTTTATAACTTTTACTTTGACATAGTTTGAGAGGTTTTGTTAACGTAACTTTTTTATTTGTTGCAATATTGACTTGAAAAAAATTAGTATCAGAACAACTGATCCTTCTGCTTTAACAAACTTAAAATTTTGCCTCAAGATCATAGTTTTTTCAAAAAAAAAATAGAAAGTTTGGTGTTAAAGAAACCCCGACTTCGGGGCTATTTTGACAGTCCCTTTAATTACGTTGAAAATCAAAGTTATGCTAGTCTGGGGGGACTTTGACGCCTTAGAACTAAAAATATGTTATATGTGATGTAAATAAACTTTATTAAACCCATTAAACACAAAAGTTAAAATATATCCTTTCTTAAAAAAATATTAATAAAGTCATTTTTTGGTATCGTATGGCTTTTATATGGCACAAAAATAAAATAAACATAATTTCGGTAGACAAGTACCTATACTGAAGATAAAACAAAATTAGTTAGCCCAATAACGTGTCAAAGTAACCCGGGATATCAAAGTAACCCTATTTTACAGTATTCCCCTGTAAATAAAAATTGACCTGTCTTAGGATTTTCTAATTTTTCTACATTTTATGAGGTATTCAGGGTGGCTCGTTAAAAATAAAATCACCCTGTACATGTGTATCACAAATAATAATGCATGTTTACAAAAAATATCTTTCTGCTTACATCTTTTACAAAGAAAAATGTAAAAACCTCTTTTGAATCGGAAATAGCTTACCAATATACCACTAATTTCACATAGTTAAGTATATATAACCTGTTTTTGATACACCCTGTGTATTTAGGAAATACAGCTATGTTTATTTTTACATCCTCCGAAACAAATTAAAATCCTAAATTAAAGTAATTAAATAAGTCAACTTTCGAAATGCAGAAATAAATGGCCAGTTCATGATTAATTATTTTTTTCCAACAATGAGTTTATTAAAGACATAAAAACGTCTTTACAAAATTCTACTTTTTAGGGAGAAAGGATATTTTAAAATAAGTACTTGATCTTCATGGAATAGTTATTATAGGCAGAATTTTGTATAGAAATTTGAATTTTGTTAAAACTAGACGAAAGTTTTTTCTTGTGAATTATTGAATAATTTGCAGAAATAACAGCTTATGAGCTTCTTCTAGTCCAACTCAAACCGCTCTACTTTTCCCCTAACTTTGAAAATTTTAGTAAAGTTTGGTCTCAATATTAATTGGAAGTTGTTCCTAAATTCCATCTTTCGTTTGAAGTTCCAAGCAATTCGATTCCTAGCTCTTGGCAAACTTTCCGAGCCTTTGTAAGTTCGAAAACTAGTCGAGGACTATTTTTGTTTCAACAACAGTCCCCAATCTTAGAAAACATTCCGTTCGATTAATTCTTTTACAAATATTTTGAACAAGACTTATTAATAACAAAGTCACTCCAGCTCCCCGAATCTGAGTTATTCATAAGCCTTCCCCAAGTACATGTCATTTCATCAAATCTAAATATTTTATGCGTCTGAAGACAGTCGCCGTTTCAGTCGCTCCATATTTGTTCTTGCCCGATGTTTCGAATAAATTTAAATGTTGAAAAGCGGCGTCGAAGCCGTCACAAAACACAAAGAATCACATTTTTGCGAAATGTTCACATGAAAGCATAAAACATCCGCTTGATTTCAAGACGAGATTTCTCGAGACGTGACGTTTTCCTCTCGGAAAACTCAATTAAAAAGCGTGTGAATTTTTATGGTAATGCGTGACGATAGCATCGCAAAAAAGGCGATTTTGCAGGTGCACCTACCCGCAGTTGCTAATTAAAAATCGCGAGAAATATTACCCGCATCCCTGTTACCTTGATCCATCAGCGAAAAATTCGCAAACACACTCAACATCTGTCGTCTTTGAGCTATTATTTACGAGGACGTGGAACACCTTGGCTGATGGTGATTATTAAAGCCAAAGTCGAATGTAATGAAAGCTCCTGGGGTGCGATTTTGTGCAATATTATTATTCGAGCCGGTTATTGGAGAATTACGCTCGCAAACGGACCGGTATTAAGATTTATTTACGAGAAGGAAGATAAATAAATATTTACCGATCGAGAATACCTTTTGATTTATAGAAATGCGATGTGACGATTGCTTTGTAATCAACACGAATATTAACACGTTACAGGTTTTGGCGTAAGCGAGATTTATTCGGATTACGACGAAGATTTATTACAGGACGAGGTTAATATAGAGCGAAAGGTGCAAAATTTATTCCACTACGGGCTTGCTTTCGCCATTTGCAATGGTTTAATTAACTAAAAGGGCACGGATTTCACTCATCTTCAATTAGGGTATGTCGAAAGTCGATGAAATGAAAAGCAGGGTGAATGGGGGAAAGATATCTAATCCAAATTCGCAAAAGTTGCAAATATTTCGACATTTGGGTTCCCAACATAAATTTTGTCGAAACCGATGATTACTCTGTATGTTTTGTGACCTATCTTAAATTTGTGAATCTTAAAATGTGTGATTTTCTATATAGTCAATAAATTCATGTTGGTTGTTGTTGCTTTTTGTTCAGTTTTATTCGATTTTACTCATTTCTGTTAATTTCTATTCAATTATGTTTAATTTTGCTTACTTTATTTTTATTATTATTTCTGTTTCATTTTATTTCTTTCTATTTATCGTTTATAATTACTCTACTTATCAAATTTCAAAAATAATTTAATTTACTTTTACTCGTATCAATAATTTCTCTTGTTTTTATTTTATTATTCTGAATTTTTGTTCAAATCCATTCATTTCCATGATATCTTTTTATTATTTTTTTATAATTTACAATTTTTATGCATTCTTAATCCTATTCCTTTTATAAACTTGGTTTAATTTTGTACGATTCTTCATTTCTACTAATTCCATTATTAAATGAATTCTATTCCTTTCTATTTATAAGTTGTAACTATTCACTTTTTTGTTTAGTTACAACACAACAATTTGTTTTTATTGATAATTTAAATTTCAAATTCACATAATGTTTATTTATGCCACTTTGTTGGATTTTTCACAAAAATAAATATGATTTATTTACTGCGTGCGCCAGAATTCGCGCCCCAGAGAAAAATGGTATGTAAGGTATAAGATACCAGAAACATGGAAAAAATGTTTAAAAAATTCTTTCTATAAAAACTTAGAAGTTATGAGAGTTTAAATTTTGCACTTTGACTCTATTTATTTCTGTTGGAAAAATAATTTTCCAAGTTTGTTTGCTACAAGATATCAGAAGAGGAAACAAGAAAGCTTTGTCCTAAAATGTAACTCTGTTTAATAATATTTGTGGCTTTTGTTGGTCAAATTTTTGTACCTTTACTTAATAATTATAAAAAAAAAACATAAAAAAAAACATTTAGAAGATCACAGTAATCAGTATCATTAAATAACATAGATAGAATTTTTTAAACATTTTTTCCATGTTCCTGGTATCTTATCTTACTTAAAATTTTTCTCTAGGGCGCGAGTTCTGGCGCATCCTGTATG